CCGAGGGCCCCGCGCTGGGGTCAGGGAGGCGCGCGACTCCCACCCGAGGTCCGGGAAACCGCCGTCGGTCCCAGCGCCGGAGAACTGCCATCCCCGTCCCTATCCGTGTTGGGTCTGGCAGCTCGGAGGCGCGGATGGCTCCTGGGACCGTGCCCGGGTTCAAGGCTGGGAGCAGACTCAGGCCCGGGAACCGTATCCTTGAGGTCTTCTTTCCTCTCTTCTGGGCCTCGAGTGGCACTTTCTCATGTTTCTGCGGTCCTTCCCTTGCTCTCGACCCTAAGTGTCCTCCTCTATGGTTCCCGCGGGCAGCTCTGACTCTCCGATGCCACCTGCCGCTCACATCCGCAGAAACAGCCTCACCGCTGGCAGACACATGGCAGGTAGGGTGCCGCAGTCTCCCATCCTCGCAGGGCTCTAGGAAGCCAACATTCCAGAGGGTTCTGCAGAGATGCTGTCCCTTTCACATAGCCAACGAAGCACAGCCCGTGAGAAAAAAAGAAAAGGTCGCTGAGCTGCCAAATCCTGCTAGTAGGGGCATTTGACCCGTAAATTTCAGCATCCTTTAAGTGACAGGAACTAAAACTAGAGGGACACTGGGGACTGGCTGTCCCTCTTCTCTTCGCCTCACCTCCCTCTCGTCACCAGCTTTCCTACTTTTTAATTATTGAGGAGCTGCAGTGTTGGAAGTTCTCCAGTTTAAAGGTGGCTGTGGAAGCTAGGGCTGGGCTCTGCCTAGCAGTGAAAGGCCCAGGCCAAAGGCCTTGTGCCATGGCCACACAGAGGGCCAGGAACATGCATTTTCCTCCCCTTGTCTCTCCTGCTCCTCCACCCCAGAGCCAAGAGTGAAAATATTAAAGTGGTCCTGAGAAACTTGGACAGAAACTTGCACAAATCAGCCCATTTTGTGGTTAATAGTTCTCCTTCCCTTGTAAACAGTTTTATTCATTTTAAAGAATCATGCAGCAATCCATAAATATTGCATCCTTGGGTGTTCTCACTGAAGTGTGCTCACAAAGTACTCCAGAGTGAGGGGAGTACACGGATGGCACCAACAGTACACATACAAGTGTGCAGGCCTTAGGTCAGTGAGCAACCAGCATGCCAACACCAGGTGGACGGGATCCATCTCCCCAGCGAGATGGCTTAAAGGGCTCGAGTCTGTGCCCAGATGCCCCAGTGGTAAATAAACTCTGGTAGGATGGAAATGGGTAGAAGGCAAAAAGGCTCTGTGAGGAAAGCAGGATTGCAACTGCAGTCCAGGCCATGGAAGAGTGCAGACCTAGGATAGCTGAAAAGCCACAGGTACCTCCAGTTAGTTTTGTGCTCTCCAGAAGCCCCCATCCCGCTTCAGGGCAAATGCTGGCAATGTCTCCCCTGGAGATGTACTGGGGTAGGAGGGCAGCAGCTGACCTGTTCCTGATCATGCGGATGGAGGCCCACCCCTTTGCATGGGTTTGTGGGGAGTGGGTTACTGAGCAACTCAAAGTAAAGGGCACTCGAACCCAAGGGTGTCTTGTTAGGACCCAAGCCTGCCTGAGAGAGGACACAGCACTTGTTGTGAGGAAGGACAGAGATCCCCCGGGAAGGGCTGCTTCCTTTGCAGCTACTGGCCTTGAGGCTACTGTTTACCTACATCTCCTTCATCTCAGCTACTTCCTCCATCCTCCCAGGTTACACCACACTGTGAATACTGCCTGCCGGGAGAGGAGGAGGGTTTGTGTGCCACCACCCTAGGCTAAGGGAAGCTCCCTGTTGCTTCTGGGGTTCACACTTCAAGGAAATCAGGAAGTGGGGTTATTGCTCAACTTAGACTGGTTTAAGTCTTAAACATGAAAAGGGCTGTCAGAACGCCAAGGGAGGAGAAGGGCATTAGGTGGGGTTAGAGAATGGCACAGTCCACTGCGGTGTTCAGAGAGGGTGGACATGGGAATGCCAGCGTGGCCTGTTGTTTCAAGGACAGCAGGCTCTCCTCCAGCAGAACAGGACATGAGCCACAACCACCAGGCAGTGTGACAGTCCCCATACTCCTGGTTCTGCAGCTACACAAAAGGTACCTAGGACCCCTTGTACCCGTTTTTTGTTGTTTTTTTTGTTTTTGGTGGTACTGGGGATCAAGCCCAGGTGCACTCACTGAGCTACATCCCCAGACAGGGTCTCGCTAAGTTGTCCAGGCTGGCCTGGAAGATGCAGTCTTCTAGTCTCAGCCTCCCAAACAGCTGGGATTACAGGCATGAACTACCATACCTAGTACAGAGCTGCAAATCCTAATATAGTGGGCACGGCCTAAGGCTATCCCACACATTACCCTCACAAGTAATTGTTTCTGCTTCCCAGGTAATCTCATATCCTGCTAAACCACTTTTCCAAAAGCCACCGGAAAAAACATCTATGCAAGAGCCACATGGAACCCACTGAGGAGAGGTGAGATACCCATCAACTTCCTAGCCAGCCTTGCTGCCGTACTTCATTTGTATGCAGATTGGAACTCCACCTCCCTCTCTATCTCTCACTGTCAGCAGATCTTGAATGCAGGAGAGGAAAAAAGAGGAGGAAGAATCCTCAAGGCGAAGGTCCTATGGCTTCTAGGCCACCACTTCCAGCCCTGGGCTACTGCCTAGACTGACTGAGCTCAGGGTTCCCCACACGTCCCTCTGTGGTTCTGGGCACTGGTTTAAGAACTGCTGGTTCACCCTTCTCTTGGCCTATTTCTTCCACTTTTAAAGAAGGGATGGAGATGGGGACATAGGAGTCAGACTCCCCCACAGGGCTGTAATGAAGAAGAAATATACAGTAGCCCTAGCACTGAGTACATGGAGGTGGTCCAGAAATGCCCTTGCAGAGTTACCTCTGGATGGAGTCCCAGGCCTTCACAATGGTACCTGATCATGAAAGGGCCTCCAGAAGGGAGTCATCCTAACTAGAGTCTCGTATTCAGGGCTCTTTCTAAAGCAGACACATGAGACACAGGAGACCAGGTCTGCTCCAGAAGGAACCCACTCTTCAACCAACCTTTTGGTCGTCACCATCTCCCTTGTCCTTGACAGCAGAGTTCTCAATGCTTTGGGAGGTAAACTCCATACTCTGCACAAGACTGTCCCCTCTTCTCATCTGAGCCATCCCCTGACCAACCCAAATTGGCAGTCTCAAATGGTTAAGAGGAGCCAGAGACCAGAAACTGTCAGATGGGTGTTTGTAACAAAGCTGCCAAAACTGGAGTCTGCTTGGTCTGCCCCCTAGGGAGAAAAAATGTGGAAGAAACAAACAGCCCCTGACCCTTAGCTCCACCTGCCCACAGGGGCAGCAGACACAGTCCAGAGTCTCTGCAGAGGGTCTCACAAGCTGCAGTTCGTGGAATGGCATCAACCCACAAGGAGAAAAGTGGGCTCTGGTCCCTTGAGAGGGGAGGGATCAAAGTTACAGGAGATGAGGCTGGGAGACAGAGCAGGCTGAACTCCATATCCAACTTTCACGTGTGTATGCAGTCTACACGCATCTTGCTGTGGATGTTGGGAGGCCAGTGGTCCAGGGAGGACAGACGGAGTGCAAGGACAGGAGGGTGCCTGGGGAGAAGGGCAGGTGCTCTCAGACGGCCAGAGGACCCCACACGCAGGACCTGTCCTCAGGGTCCTCTAGGCTGCTGGATGATAAGCGCCGGCGCTGAGTCCGCCGACTGACAATGTTGTCATCAGCCTGCCAGGTACCTGGAGGAGAGGAAATGAAGGTTACAGGAGCCAAGCCTTGGGCCACACCCACAGGAGGGCAGCCTGGCCACTTGACACGGAAGCTAGCGGGGTTCATGTGATCTAAGACTCCTAAGTGCAAGCACAGTGCATGAGAAGAGGAAAAGCAGGTGCCAACATGTGCAGGGGCTGCTCCTGCCCCTGGGTGAGGTGGTCACTGCCACTGTGGCCCCGGACGGAGAACGACAGTATAGGGAGAGTTTGTGATCTTCCCCTAGGGTCCACTTTTGTATCAGGATTATTTGGTTCTGGAGTTCGCCCTCATTATAGTTGACAAGGAAAAGGAAACGGCCTCACTGAGCTATTTCCCCCAGGGCAGGCAGAAGTGAGGGGGGCTGAGGAGCATGCTTATTCTGCCCAAGCCCTCAGTGTTTGCTATGGGAGCCAAGAGGGCAGGAGGGGGCTGAGCACCTCGCAGGGGCCAAGGATGGACAGCACCTGGTGGGAGGGCAGTGTGCCGCTCTGGGCCCCTCCCCCACATCGTTGCTCTTCTTCTCCTGCCACCAACCCAGAAAACACTGCCGAAGGGTTAGGGTCCCACAGGAGCCACCTACTCTGCTGATTCCTCTCTCTGAATCTCTGGCCACCTTGTGTCCAGGCTGGAAGCCCACTTCCGGCATCTCCCTTCACTTTGTACCCTGCATCCAATTCACCACTTTGTGTTCGCTCATTTCCTAGTTGAGTCTTCACCTGCTGCCACACCTACCTGGACTTCCCAGTTTACAGTGTACAGACTGTGTGAGCTTGGCAACTCACTTTACTTTGATCCCCGGCTTTTTCAGCCATCCCACAGAAGGCAAGAACTTCCCTCATGGGTGTGGAAAGGAGCTGGAGGTCACAAGCACTGTGCTGGGCGGAGTGCGCTCAGGAATTGGGCCTCCCAGCTTTGTGAGGGCACTCTCAGGTCTCCCTGCCCTGTCCTCCAGCCAGCAGATCGTCTCCTCCTAGTGTCTCCGTCCAGGACAGCCAGAGAGCTCCTTCTGCCAGGAAAGGCAGGGCCCCAGCCACTCTAGCCTGGGGATGAACCCTGGCTCCCTGGGGCTGTAGAAGGCTGTTTGTCCTGCGGACCCTGTGGCCTCCCCTTCCAAGGCACCTTCCAGCTGGATGAGAACCTGTGTGTCCCCCAACAGCCCAAACTATACTTCTCTCCTTGCACTGTGGAAACTGCGGACCTTTCTACTCCTCTGCCAGACACAGCTCCTCCTGGTTGGGGGCCTGGCACATTTACTATCACCCCTCAGAGCCTTGCTGGGCACCTTGCCCACTGGAGGGCTCCTTTGGTGGTTAAGGCTGGCTGACTCTAGAGCATTGTCCCAAGGCCACTCACGGTGTGGGGAGGTCATCCTCAGATTCAGCCAGCCCAAGACCCAAATCCCTTTAACGGCAGAAGCACTGAGACGGGACAGGTCCCACCAGCTCGTTTCCCCACAAGCACGCTGGCGTAGTAACCTCTCCTGAGGCTGAAGTAATGGTCGGTGGGGTTGGTGCCCAGGGCAGGGGAGGGAGTTACCAGGCAGGTCCCAGTGTCTTTCACACAAACTGCCAGTGGGAACTCCATTCCCTAAGACATGACTCAAAGGTGTTTCTTCCCCTCTGAGGATGGCACTCTGTAGTGTGGCAAGAGGAAAATCAGGCAGTGCTCATACTGCCTGTTCAGGTAGGAAACCCCAATAAAATGAGTTGTTTGTTCATTTATATAATTTGGTAGATGTCATACCTATTCCTCAATGTTTATGGGGCAGGACTCCGGAACTGCGGCTGTTCAGTAGGAAAGACCAAAAGCAAATGGTAAACAAGAGAGAAGACACACACGCACGTACAAATAAAAGCAGCAGCACCGACATCACCACTGTCACCGCCACTGCTGCGGTACGCCACGCTGAGACACTGGGTCTGAGAGGCTGCCCAGAAGGGCCGTCCAGACCAACCTTACAGGAGTCCCTGCACAAGCGCTACCATTCTGAAGTCTTCACCAGGGCTACAAATGAGCTGCCGAGGAACAGACCGACTCTGAAGGGCAGTCTCTGTGCTGAGGAGATCTCTGGCAGGAGAATGAGGTGCTTTCCCCAAGGAGGAACCGAAGGGCCCACAGCAGACCCTGCTGGTGCCCTGCTCAACCCGCTTTGAGGGCTACCATTGAGTTGGCCACCTGGGCCCTCCAGCCAGAAAACGGAGCTCAGAGAGACTTGAAATCCCTTAAGGGAGATGGACACACGTGCTCTCCATCCAGTTCCATTTGGGAAATCAGAAATGAGAGAATGAAAAGACCTCCAGAGGCAGATTCTAGGAGCATGAGGGAGATCTGGCTTACCCCTTTCCCACCTCTACAAGCCACTAATTAAATGTAAGGGTTATAAGAGTTCAATTATCTTTGTTGAGTCTCTCTCCCTGGGAAAGAAACACTTAATTTGGAATTTTTCCTCAAAGTGCAAACTTTCCTCGTACCATCTCCGTCTTGGTTATGAGACCTGAAGGCAAGAGTGAAGTCAGGAAGCATCCAGAGGTATTTTTAGATTTCACTGGATACGCCCATACCTGTACAATGCAGTCATTCAAATGTCTGTATTTCCATGAAAACACCCCACTGTCCGTGACTTTCTATCACATACGTGTCCCAGAGCCTCTCCCCAGAACTGCCACTTGCCCTCATCACTCTCAGCCATCTGTGCAACACCCCACCACATTCCTTGGAACCATATCCAACTTAGCACACAATTCCAGTCTTACCATCTATATCATTCAGCGCAGACACCCCCCTTGAGGACCTCTCAGAAGGGATCTCAGAACGTGTCACCCCCATTGGGAGGAATGTGGGGCTCCAGAAGATCTGGAAGATTTTGGGGGGAAGAGGGTCTGGAATGAAGCAGGCACCCTCTAAGCCTCTCACAGATGTGTGAGCAGAGTGGTTCCCACATGGTACGGGGCACAGGGCCAGTGGGGTGCTTCCCTGGGCTCTGCTCCCCAGTGGGTCTCTGTGAAGGGATGACATCTACTTTGTGAGAGGCAGACTCGAGCAGGGACTGTGTGCACAAACAGCCTTCCTGCAGGAGGACACTGCCCACGGAGCAGAAGGAACCAAGCCAGCCTATGGTCTGTCATGGCCAGATGGACGTGTGATCCCTCAGCTGAGTGAGGAGCCCGTGAGTCCATGGTGCCTACCAAAGTGAGAGACTTCCAGAGTCTCCCAAGTGCTCTGCTGCCAGTGTGAGGCTAATAGCAGAGCTGGAGAAACATTCTGCCAAGCGAGCAGATGCATCTCCCTGTCCCTGCGAACCCCTGCTGAGGACACAAGGGACACTAAAAGCATCTGTCTATGCCTGAGATCCTTTCTCAACAGCTACCACAGGTATGTGCGTTCCTGTCTGGCCACCTGTGAACCCAGTGTAATGTCAAAGTCACTGGCTGTAGAAGCCACCATAGGAAGCCCAGGGCCACTGTCTTCCTTTCTGATCTTGCCGCCCTCCCTCCATCCTGTGGTACAGTGTATTCGGACACGCAGGCTAAGTGGAGGGAGTTAGGAAAAAGAAAAATAAGCTCAGTTTGCACCAGCGCTGTTGGCTTAAATAGTTCCCAACAGCTCCCTCCACCAAAAAGCAGTGACGCGTGGGGAGCCCTTGAAGGGAGAGGCTGGCTGGCAGAGAACTGCCGCAGAGACAGGCGGAGCTAGGCACAGGTACCATCCTCACCCAGCCGTTGGCCAAGGATGCGGTCATTTACTCGCATATCCTCTCCATAATCCTCATCACAGAAGCATGCCCATTTTTGCTGAACAGAAATTCTCACGAGTGTTTTTTCTTGGCAAATCTTAGGTGATTGAATATAGGCCCTTGCCAGTTAGGAACAGAAAGCTGTCTGCAGCCCTAAACGAGAGCCCTCAGTGTGCGGACATCAGCAAGCTCGGGGCTAGGCTGAGCACAGCATGGAAGACAGTGCTGGCACAGAGTGAACATGAACTTTCACACAGAGCCGGAACATAAATGGGTGGAAAAAAAAAGAAACAGACAGACAGACCCACATTTGGCAAAAAGACGTGAAACACAGATGGACAGACGGAAGCAAGGTCAGGACTGTGAGGGCAGGGAGTAAGTGTGCCCTGGTACCCAGCAGCCCCAGTCCAGGCCTAACTGGGCAGGAGGCAGCCACAGGGTCAATGCCCTTCCTCCGTGCTCAGGCTGGAGAGGGTCTGTCCTGGGCCTGTGCAAGAGAAGCGGGGGAACTGATACTGCCTCCTCAGGCCTCATGGAAGATTAAGAGACCTTGGCAGTATCTTCAGGACAAACAAAATAGAGATGACCAAAGTGCCCTTTGCAAGGCTGGAGAAAGCATCTCCCAAAAGCCTTCTGGCTTCCCTGCCACAAGCCTGCATGAGGCCAGCGCCTGCTGGGACCGTGACTGCATAGGCTGATGGAGAGTGGCAACCACAGCAGGTCATGTGGCTCCAATACCTCCAGCCACTTCGCCGAGCGAGTAAAGCACTGGACCCAGGAGGGCTATTCCGAAGCTGCAGCAGGTCTTCACTTAAGACTGCTGGAGAGGATTACAACAGCACAGTGGGAAGGACAACCTCTGCAGTAGAACCAGGAAGGGACATGTGACCTGGTCCACTCGAGCAAGACCTGACTTTTAAAGAAGCGGTTCTCGGAGTCCGTGAATGAGCACACAGGGTCAGTGCTCAAAGTGTGATTAACATGGTTGCTTGATAGGAAGTTATCCCAGGTTCAACTGAAAAGGAACAGGGACACACCGACAACCTGCTCAATTTTATTTTATCTTGTTATATTTATTTATTTTTGATACTGGGGATCGAACTCAGTACCTTACGCTTACAAGGCTGGTGCGGTGTCACTGAGCTAAATTTCTGGTCCAACCCAGTCAAATTTAGAGTTAGGGGTCCAGGCAGCAGAGTCACTCTGGCTCCTGGCCTCTTCTTTGGGATCTAAATATAATAGGTATAAAAACTGGGAACTTAAAGCTTACGGGACAAAGACATTCATTAGCTTGTAATGCTGGCTCTCAAATTCCTTTCTGGGGCTGGGGATTTAGCTCAGTGGTTCCGCTGCCTGCTTCACAAGTGCAAGGTCCCGAGTTTGATCCCCATTACCAAAAAAAAAAAAAAAAAAAAAAATCCTTCTTTCTGATCCTAATTTAATTACTTGTCTTTGGAAGAACTAGTTTCACTTTTTTTTTGTACCAGAGATCGAACTCAGGACCTTGCGCTTGCAAGGCAGGCACGGTGCCGCTGAGCTAAATCCCCGGCTCTACAGTTCACTTCTAAAGGGTTCAGATTAACTTTCCAAGACCTTCATGGAAGGGTGTTTGTTTGCTCAAACTTCCTATTGATGAACATCAGATAGGCTAGCTGACATGGGATGTGGAAGATCGTGACACGGGCATGCTTAGGCCAAATCAGAAGAGGAATTTTCCTATCCCGATATTCTTTTTTTTTTTTTTTTTTTTTTTGTGGAACCAGGGATTGAACTCAGGACCCTGCGCTTGCCAGGCAGGCACAGTGCCACTGAGCCACATCCCCGCCCTCTATCCCAATATTCTCCGAGCAGGAGTCCTCTCTGTAAAAGCTCAGGACTCTCCTGAGCCTTCTCACTTCCTCTCAGCAGCTGTCTGCAGCACCTTCGTGCACCCCGAGCCTTCTTGGCAGGCACTGGAGGGCAGGAGACAGGTGTACAGGGTGAGACCAGGGGTTAGAACGGAGGGACGTCACCCACCAAGTTCATGTCAGCAGACTGCCACTCACCGGGTAAGCAGACCTCAGAGCACAGCTTATTGTCCAGTGCTTTCACGCTTGCGATGTCAAAGTCATTGTTATTGTCACACTCCATACCTAGAAATGTGCATGTCCTCTGGCCTGTAATGGAGTTAAGGCAGTTAGAGAGGGGCTGGCTGTGTTTTTCTCTACTTTGCTGTCCTTAAAATAAAAATCTTAAGGATGGAGACAAAAAATAAAATCATATGTTAAAAAAAAGACAATAATTAAGTGGGTAAAGAGTGGACAAAAAGGAATCGAATCGTGTAGGCACGCCTAGGTTCGTGTGCCGTCCTGGTACGTTTCCCTACCTGGCCCCTTTCTAGCCGCTGTTTCCTAATTCAAATCCCTGTGGAGGACTGTGGGGCTCAGGCTCAATAGAAACCACTAGAGAGGTCAGCTACCCCTGATCCAGGCCACTGACACCATGGCTGCAGAAGCTGGAGAAAACTGGGGGGCGATACCCTGCTCGTGTCTGCAGCTGTCTCTGGTGTGAGCTGGGTGTCTACAACCACAAGGCTCTGCAACACGGTAAACACATAAAACAACTAAAGGCCTTTGGTTCCATAATTTTGTATATCAAATCGGAATGACCGCATTCACAAAATTATGACTTATTCTCTTAGGAGACCAAAGTTGTTGTTTTTTTTTTTTTTTTTTTTTT